ATATTTTTTTAAATTTCAAAGACCACGTTATTCTATAAGGGTAGATCTTTTTCTTGATATGATGAAAGTTGGAGAGTAGACAATTGCACAATGGTATCTTCTCACTTTCTCAAAACATACCTGTGTCCTATTGTTGCAGTAATACCAAAGAGCTGCAGTCATGTATTAGTGCTGGTCATAAGTAATGCAGAATAATAATACAAATAAAGGAAAACAGTCCTTGCCCAGAGAACTCATTTGTTCAGATAACTAACCTGAAACCCACAGCCGAATACAGGCATGTTAATGACTGATTGGATCAAAAAACTCCTCTTCTGAAACCTTGCTTAAAAAACAAAACCTGAAACAAAATACTGGTATTTGCAACAATGGAGGGAAACAAAGAAGTGTATGGCAATGAATCAATGCTACAATAAGCAGGGAATAAGTAGTAGAATAATGACTCCAGACAGGAAAACATTTTAGTGCTTACAAGTGAGGGGGGAAAAATTAAGATATTCTCACTCTGTTTTGCCCCTGATACAATTATCAGTAGCAACGGTTTTTTATCTGTATCAAATAATGAAAGTTATCATCAACTCAGATGTACTAAACAAAGATATATATTTTAAGACAGTAAAAAGAGAGGGGTCCTGACCTACAAATCAAGTCAATAAGTGATTGCTAGACATATAAGAAAAATAAAATCCTCTAAAAATATTTTAAATGCACAAAATCAGAATTTGCCAAAATGTTTTTCTGTGCTTTTGTCAAATGGGTACAGGAGAAAAGGAAGAGCTGGATAAGGTGGAGTTCTTTAGAAATTCCTGAGAAACCTCAAAAACATTCCAGTGTTGACATGCAGAGAGAGGTGGGAGGAAGGGGAGAGAAAAGCTTAATAATACAGGGGAAGTACAAAAGTATCAGTCTTAAATTCCAGTGTCAGTTTTGACCTGTAAATCATTTTTAAGGAGAGTCTAAGGAAGGATTTATTTTTCTTCTCAACAGGCAAGCATGCATCAGCCTGATTGTGAGTGCTTGTCTTCTCCATCTGTATTAGTTGTGAGTAGGTTGGTTATCTGTTCTCTCAACACCGACGTCCCGTTCTAGTACAAATACCTCCTCTGTAAAGCGGTATCAGGTGTCTTGGTCCATGAAGGTTCTTTTTCAGTCCGATGATTCAAAGAAATGAGTATGTTTTAAGTAGATCTTCTATTTGCACCTACTGCACACAATTCAGAGAGCAGAGATCATTGGAAGACAAGTAGGGCTATCTTTTTTTCCCCCTAGAAATGTCAGCCCAAGGCAGGTTCCTGATTCATAAAGAACTCCAGGCCTGATTCCGTTTCAGACTGAGGCTGAGAAAAATCTCCTGTTGCTCACAAAGGTCAGGTACAGACACTCAAAAATGCAGAAGCAGTCTAAATTTCCTGCTTTACTCTAAGCCCCCAACGTTAGGTTGGGAGCAAACAGAACAGAGGTTTGCTCTTTGGGGGAAGGGTTGGGGCATGCAGGCTGCTTGCAGTGGCTGAGACCAGCAGGTTGAGGGCACTCCTGGATGCCTTCCAGCAGGCTGCCTCTGCTCCCCTCCACCCCCCACAGCATCCAGCTGCTAGGAGAGGGGCACATATGGGTTCTGGCCAGCCCAGCCAGGCAATGGGAGGGGAAGAAGCAATGAGTGGAGTTCCCACTGTGCGCCCGCCCACCCACAACTGTGTTGACTCAGGTCTGGGGCATCTGTCACTGGGGCAGAAGGATGAGGTGGGAGAGTGAGACAAAGGCTGCACCCAAGACACCAGTAACAGCAAAACGCCAGTGACTGAGGATTGCCCCCATCCTGCCTGGTGGGCACATCCACCACATGCTGCTGAGAGCAGGGTATTGGGAGCGTCCGAGCCCAACTGCAGCCACACACACGTCCCTGAGACATGTCAGGCAAGGCCCAGCACTGGGCAGCTCCTGGGCCAGCAGAAACATGAGGACAGGGGTAAGCATGGCTGGGAAGTGCAGCAGGCTGTGCACGTGCAGGGCCAGGGCTGTCACCAATGCATATACCCAGGGATGGGAGTGGGGCAGGGGTGGAGTGGGAGCAAAGCAATGGGAACTGGCTCCAAGGATGCCAAGCTGCTCTGTGCGTCCAGCACTCTGTTGCCAACTGCCTCACAGCACTGTCCAGGTAGTCGGCCCTACTCTCCCCAACCCTTTTCTGCTGCTTGCTCGGTGAGGTGTCGCACAGCTGCACCAGGGATGGTCCTTACAGGACAGGAGCTCTGGGTTTAGCATGCTGTTCCCTGGGACCCCCTGCTTTGGCTGCAGCTTGAGCCAGTGCCTTCCCACCTGCTTCTCAGGGTGACTCCACTGGCGTTGGGCAGAGGGCATGGGGAAGGGGTTGGGGCGGGGGCCTGCACCTTGTGGGATAACGGCACCACAGGGGGTCTGCCAGCCACCCCAGATCCAGCCACCCCAGATCCAGCCAGCACCGTGGGGTGGGCATGCATAGCGAGGGCTTCCCCCCTCCCCTGTTGTTGTGGCTTCTCTCTTCAGCCCTGCCCCACCTGCCACACAGCTAGGTGTCAGCAATGGGGGTGGGGAGGGAGGGGAAAGCCAGATCTATTTGAAATGCAAGCATTTATTGCATGTGTGCTAAGAAACAACTTGGAAGACTGTTCTCCACCTGGCAACACCTGGTCACTCCGGAGGAAGGTTCCAAGACACAATCTCCCATCAGAGTACCATCACCAGTCCCTTGAGCAGTACCATGGGATACCAAAAGTTTTTGCAGTGAGTCTGCCCTAGGAACCTGCTGTTTGACATGGGAGGGTCATAGCAAAAAAAACTGAATAAGAACCATCACAGTCCCAACTCAAAGATTTATTCTTGGAGCTAACATCAAAGCATTGCACACTTTGGAGAAGACATTGGAATGATTTCCTCATCTTCTCTTCTTAATATTAGCTCCACCTGATATCTTTTAACTATGTTTCTTCTTTGCTCGGTGGTGTCATCAGAAAAAAACATCATGAAAAGCTGTGTTCAATGAATTGGAAAAAAAATCAACGAAAATTTGTTTCAAAACTGGGAGGATTTTTGGTTTTCTTGGGTTTTTTTTCCATTCTGATTCCCCACCCTCCCATGGGAAAATGGAATAGAGATGTAAAGAAAAATAGAATAGAGATGTAAAGAAAATATCTTTGTCCTTCTGGAAACAGTTGGAATTTATTTCTCCTTTTTTGACTGGAAAATATGGGATGGTTGGAGAAAGATTTGGAAGAGCTAGGAACCCAAAACTGAGACTGAATTTCTAAAATGTAATGAATGTTTGCTTCTTTTTTGACAATGGGGAGAATTAAAAACTTTGAACAAAATAAAAGCATTCAGTATTTTCTGAAAACCTGCCCCCTTTCAGACCTTTCTACTTGAACAGACACGACTGAAGGCATTCAGCGAAGGTACTCTCTTAAAATTAGGCATGAATGCTTGCAGAGGGTCAGCAAAGAAAGGGACTGTGTACAGCAAGTGCAAAATGAAACAGAAATAATGACAGTCCTCTGCACTTCTCATATTGGCATCTTGAACATTGCACAAACATTAATTAAGCTTCCTGACATATTTGCCAGACAACTGAGGTACAGAGATGCTCCGTCTTGCCCAGGGTCAGGCAGTGAAGCAGCGACATGACCCAGGAGTCTTTGCATTCCAGCAACTAGATTTACTGCTAGGATAAGAGACGACAACAATGTGGCTTAATTACATTGGCATAGCATCCCCTGCTCTGAACATTTCAGAAGTCTAATATGGTTTAAATAAAAAATACTCCTTTTGGATCCTGCAGCTTGTTTCCAAGGCAGGCTTTGATAATCAGACAGCCTTTTGGATTCCTAAAGAAGAGTCACCTCCTTTGAGGATTATTTCTTGGCCTATCAGACACATTTTCAGAGGAAAAACAAACTGACATTGAATGCCTGAGCGCACAGAACACAAACTGGCAAGGAAGGTGGAGAATTGGGGGAAGAGCCTTGTTAGGGAAAGCCTCTTAGGAGTGATTGTCTTTTTTTTTCTTTTTTTCTTTCCGTGCATTCTAAGTTTCATCATTTGAAATCTGACATCTCAAGGGCTTGGTGTTTTGCTATTGCTGCTGTCCCCCTTTTTAAGTAACAAAAATAAATGGGGAGAGCTTGCAGGTCAAATGCAAAGAAATTGTCCATGTAAGCGAATGGTTTAGGGAGTATGTGGCGTTTTAATTTGGCTGTCAGCTGTTGCAGATCTTTCATTACCGACCTTTTGGTCCCCTGTGTTCTTTTCAATTTGCAATCGGTCGCTGTAGGTATATTCAATTAAAGCTACTTCCCTCAGTGGTGGCAAACATTGGCAGTCTGTATATCATTAGATATTTTTTTATGCCTGGAAACAACATCATGATATCTCAATAGTCGGTGTCCTCCAATAAGGTGGCAGATAAATTCAATACATAGATTTTGCATTGGGTATGGGATGAAAGAGAATTTATTCCTTTATCAGCACTGGCCTATTTGTCTGGGAAACGTGACTGGAGTTATGTTTTTATATTCATGCCAGTAGATCTAGTTCTTCCTTGTCTAAACTTTAGCAACCTAAGTTTTATAGTAATACCTGACAATGCTTGTTTGTGAATGCTCCAGAAAATGGGAAAGGAAAAGGCATCTGGGGAGTTTGAGGTGCCATTCAAAAACATGTCAGTACTACAGTGTGAATTAAAAATGGGGAAGTTTGCCAAAGAAAAGATTTTCTTTAGAAATGTAATTAGTTAACATGACTCGATTCCTTTCTCTTTTGTGAAAGAGTTGCCGGTGGATCTCCTTGCATTGGAATAGCGTGCTTGCTTCGGTTCGTGCTATGTGCCACTGTTCGTAAGTTCCAGAAACCTTCAGAAAATAATGACCTTTCCACAGATATTGCCTCTATCCACCTTTGTGCTGCATCGTTAAATAACTAAGAAAAACAGTCAAGAAACTTTTTTTAACCTTGTGGTGTTTGTTCTGCAGGAAGAATTTCTTGCCAATGAGGACTTCACTTGCAGCAGCTCTACCTGCAGCACTAGAAATGCTATGTGCTGACAGAACCTGTTTAGAAACAGCATTGCATGTGCTGAAACTCTAAATGAAAGCAGCAGGAGCTCAAGGCAAGTACTGTAAATTATGTCACAGGGATGGATTTTCCATGTTACTGCCTATTGTGCCCAGGCTGTCTTACCCAGCTGGTTTCTTTTTGTTGTTTCAAGATCATCTGGTGTGGATAACAGCAGTAGCTAAGAACGCTTGGCATGATTTACTCCACTGAAATAAATGGTGATATAGGTGTAAAAATATTTGTGATTCTGGTTCTCTTGTAGTTTTTTTAAATCACAGGATGCAATAGAGTTGTATTAATTTGTATTACAATTTAAAATAACAACTCCCTGATCAAGGTTGCAGGCATCTTGGTATAATTAATCATCATTAAATTGTGTTTATTGCAAGCCTCAGGAGCATTTAAAAGCTATTTCTCAAGTGCCTGCCTGGTCCGGCAGCTGCCTCCACCTGGGAAGCATGCCCTCAGCCTTCCCCAGGGACTCTGTCAAGCAGGTATCTGCTGCATGCCCAGAAAGTCACCCTATTTTGAGTTATTTTGGAGCAGAGGTAAGAGGAAGCATGCTTCAGAGATCTAACAGCTTTTTACTTATAGCAAATAGGATCCTGTCTGATCATCTCTTGACTGCTGCTGTGGCAGAATGGCACCAGGAGAGAGACAGCCCCTCAGGTAACCCAGTTCTGGTGTGAAGCTTTATAGGTCATGACCCACAGGTTAATGGGCCACAGCAACAGCACGTGTCCCTATGAAATGTGACTTGAGACCCTTACTCACTGCACCCAAGCCCTCTTTTGGTTTGCTTTGTTCCATTCCTTTTAAACCTTCAGAGCCACCCTTGGGTGCTGGGGAGGGCGACAGACTCTTCCTCTGTAGCAAGAGACTTTTTTTTACTCATTTAACTTATACCTATCTAAAAGTAGTGCGGTTCTACAGGAATTGCTAAGGGCCTAGTCCAGCCTGAAAATTGTTGTAATTAAAGATTCTGCAAGAGGAAATAAATTGGTTTGACTCTTTCGGTGACTGCCTTGGGTTGACTAGACACAGGTGGCCAGAGATTTTTTTTTTTAAAACAGTGCTCATTATTCCATGATATTCATGAACTTGATCCCATTTGTCTAAAGTAGCTCTTCACAGTAGAATTCAACTTAAGTTGTTGCCCAAAAGGAGCATTATCTAGTGCATATGGGACTGGACCAGGACTTGACACATGGGTTCTACGCCTCTCGAGTCACTGATACGCTATCTAATTCTGGGTGGCTCATTTTGCCTTCTGTCCCACCCTTTTTTTGTCTTGTATATTTACTATGTAAGTGCTTTGATATGTAGGTATGGTCTGTTATGTTGACAGAGCCAAGCTCACTGTGATTGTACTGCCATAATACAAATACTAAAGAAAATACTTAACTTGGAATCTCCTCAGAGGCAGCTTCTATCATTGGGATCCAGGAGCAACAATAGTAGAATTGGATGGATGGATGGATGGATATAGCTGATATCCTATGATATGTCAGGACTTATATCCCATTCTACCATTGTTGTTCTTGAATCCTATATATATATATATATAATAATAACTTCAGGTCAACCAAAACTGAATTTTTGGCAATTATTTTTTCTTCAAAAACAAACCTCCACCCTACAGTTCCACCTAGCTTCAGCTTTGGTTGCTATTTGGACTTGCTATGGGTAGAGATCCCTCTTAAGGGGTGGGGTGTGCATAAAACCTGAAGCTAGTCATAGGTTCAAAACTATTTTGCAGATGGTGTCAACTTAAAAACAAGCAAACAATGGTGTTACTTGTTTCTCTTTTTATCCAGTAGCTACTGGTTAGGGCCCTCATCTGTTTCCCTGGTTATGAGAGACAAAGCTTCGATTTCCTCCTCTGCATGAAGAGTTATGAATGCCCATCACCTACCTTCCACAAGAGTACTCCAACCACTTGGCTAGAGCTTCCTATACTGCCTAGGCATGTCTTGTACATCTTAGAGCAGCAAGTGGTGAGAGGCAAGGTTTTTGTGGGTAATATCTTTTATTGGCCCAACTGCTGAGTCAGAATAGACTTTCATAGACATCAGGGCTGGAACAGACCTCACAAGATCATCGGGTTCAGTCCCCTGCCCAAGGGGCAGGAAGTTAGTTGGAGTCAAATGATCCCAGCAAGATATGCATCCAAGTGTTTTTTGAAAGTGTCTGGAGTAGATTCATGTACCACCTGTGGGGGGAGTCTATTCTAGGCCCTGGGGACTCGGACAGTAAAGATGTTTTTCCTTATGTCCAGCCTAAAATGGTCTTCCAAGAGTTTATAACTGTTGGATCTTGTCTTCCCTTGGGCTGCCCTGGTACACAGGCATTCCCCCAGATCCTGATGCACACCCCTGATGTACTTATAGGCTGCCACACTTTTCCAGGTTGAAGGGTCCCAGATCTCTCAGCCTCTCCTCATAAGGCTGTTCTCTTGACCTCTAATCATGTGCATGGTTCTTCTTTAGACCCTTTCAAGCTTTTCCACACCCTTTCTGAATTGCAGAGCACAGAATTGGATGCAGTATTTCAGCTGTGGCATCACCAAAGCCAAGTAAAGCAGGAGGGTGACTTCCTGGGTCTTGCTTGAGATGCATCGGTAGATGCAAGCCAGAGTTTTATTTGCTTTGCCAGCTGTGGTATCTCATTGGTGGCTCATGTTCATCTTGTGGTCTTTCATATCCCCCTAGTCTCTTTCAGTCATGGTGCTAGTGAGTGTAGCACTGCTGAGCCTTTAAGTGTGATGTGGGCTTTTTCTTCTGAGGTGGAACACTTTGCATTTCTCCATGTTGAACACCATCAGGTTTTGATCTGCCTACCTTGCAAGCCTGTTGACGTCGGCCAGGATTGCCAGCCTATCCTCTGCGGTTACCACACTTCCCCATAGTATGGTATCGTCAGTGAACTTAGTCAGTCTGCTTCTGACACCAGTCTAGATCATTTACAAATACATTGAAGAGTATAGGTCCAAGAACGGAGCCCTGGGGAATGTCACTGGTCACCATGCGCCATGTTGATTTGGTTCCATCAATTATCACTCTCTGGGTCTGTCCAAGGAGCCAGTTCCCCAGCCATCGGACTGTAAGGTTGTTGAACCCACAGCTCCCCAATGTTACCATACCAGCTCAAAGGCTTTCTTGAAGTCCAAATATATGGTATCAACCTCTTCTCCTTTGTCCAGATGATGGGTCACCTGGTCATAGAAGGAAATGAGATTGGCCAGGCAAGACCTACCCGCAATGAAGCCATGTTGGCTATCTCTCCCAGAGTGTTGCCTTCTGTTAGCCTGTTGTTAATGGTTTCCTTGATGATTTTTTCCAAGATCTTTCCAGGGAATGAGGTCTAACAGATTGGCCTGTAGTTCCCCGGATCTTCCTTCCTCCCTTTCTTGAAGATAGGCACCACACTGGGCTTCTTCCAATCTTCAGGTGCCTTGCCTGAGTGCCATGAGTTCTCGAATATCCTCACCATTGGCTGTGCTATGATGTCAGCCAGTTCCTTTAGCACTCTTGGGTGTTTTTCATCCTGACCAGGTGACTTAGACAAGCTTTTGAATGCAAAACATTGTTCATCACATTGCAGCAGCAGTAAGATGTACATTCATTTATATTGTGAGAAGTTTTTTTTATTATGCAGTGGCTTGGCTGAATTTAAGGCAATTTCCCCCACATCTCTAAAGTCTTCAATTATTTAACCATATGAATTATTGTTGCAACATAGAAGATAGTTTAAAACTGTGAAATACAGTATTATTACAAATTTATATTGGGAAAGCCTGAAAGTTCAAATAGCTAACACAGACTAATTACTGCAGTCCAGAAATTTTTCTTTCTTCCTTCATCATGGCATATGACAGGGAAATTAATGCACATGCTGTCAGAATATTGTCCCAAACATATTCCTGTGGCACCTCACCAGGGTCCCTTAGGCCAAGAATATGGTTTACTAGGGCAGCAAAGAGGATGGGCTCTGTAGAACTGACCAAAATTATGGAACAGCCAGCAGCAGAGAAGTACTCTTTTCAGTCACCTATCTGTACCTGTAGTAACCCAGCACTGGCAATCATATGGCTGCTGGTGGTTAGCTGCTGGTTCTGCTTGTGTTCTGTGATGCTGAAGAGTTGTACAGTGTGTTGTAGAAACTAAAACCATCTTGGGCTTTCCCACATATGTCATCCACCAGTCAGTCCTGTTTGGGGTAGACCCTGACCTTCTTTCTTCTTTGTATTTATCTCCACACTCCCTTTCCCAATTATGTTATTTTGATGTAGGGGATGGACAAAATGGGTAGCTGTAAAGAAGAAAGTTCTTTGTATCTGTCTTATCTGTTCATTTTTTCCAGCCACTAAATTTTCTGTGGATTTGTTTTTTCTTCATTTGGCTAAACATGCGGTTCCCAGTTCTGGAGTCCCAACTCAAATTCAAACACCCATTTAAGCTTCTCTAACCAAAATGATCTCTAAGCAAAAAACCATAGAGCAATGCTGAAATTTGCATTTTCCAGAAAAGGCTTGACAGCAGTATTTAAAACACTGTTAATCATTGAAGATCATATGGTCCCACAGTATGAATATCACAGATTTTGTGACTTCCTTGATCCTAGTTCTGTGCTTTCTAGTCTAGTCTTCATCTTTGTTCCAGCTCCTGATGAGAACTAGAAAAGGAAACCGTCAACGGATTATGTTCCTCTTCCATAATCCAAGCTTTTTATGTCCAAACTTGATTGAATCTGAATTTCCACTAATTGGGGAGGGGGAGAGGAGGGGGAAGGAGGAGGGCAGAGGAGGTGTTAAACTTCTAATTTTCTTTTATTTATGCATTGGGTCATAATGGTATACCTGCTCTTATTAGGGGTGTGATACTGTATTTTAAGGAGGTAGTTAGGCTGATAAAAATGTGTCTGTATTGTATATTCTCTGTCCTATTTGGGAATAAATTATACTGGTTATATATATTTGTGTCTCTAGCCAAATCAGTTCTGACATCTATTGACTGAGCAAAGCTCAATCATTCAAGTCTGTGTGGTGCTATCACCGGCAAGTATCCTACCTCCCAGACTCTTCAGCATGGGGCTTAAGTTACTTCCAATTCCATGGCAGGCATCCTGTGTGTGCAAGCCTGGAGGCCTTGGGGGTCAGATGCCCCCTAGTCTCACTTGTCCCTACCCAAAAGGCCATAGGTGCAACATGGAGGGAGAGCCTGAGAACAATCTCTAATCACCATAAACTGTGTAGCCAAGATCCTCCCACTGAAAGCTATAGTAGACTATCATAGTGGTGCCTGCTCGCAGTTCAATGGACAGGTCTCCACTTCATCTACACCAAGTCATTCAAGGCTGGGAGGAAGAGGATCTCCCCTTTCATGTACAGTAACACCACCTGGGCCAACAGCATATTTAAGTATAGAATACCTTCCCAAAGGGGATTGTAGCACAAGTTTTTATATTCAAAGTTAGTACTGAGGGTTACGGTGATCCAATTCCCAGTATTTAGGATGATACAGTTAAATGATTAAATCTAACTAAGTCACTTGTTTTCTGCAAAAGATACCATACGTTCATCCTTTTAATCCTGTGTTCCCCTTGCAGATGATATAAGATTCTGGATTAAAACTGAAATTTTTCACTAGCTAGTAAATTAAACATCAGTG